AAGTTCTAGACCTCGTACGGAAACAAAAATAGCACCATTCGATTCGCCGTGAAAAACTGCATCAGATAGACACCTTTTCAGGCCTTAACCCTCGCCGGCCGGGGGGGGGGGGCGGGTGCCGCCCCCCCCATAGGGTTTTTTCGCGATAGCTCCGAACACACTGGCGATAGAGAGCTGAAACTTGGCATACCTGACCTTTGATCCAAGCCGCATCTTTTGACACCAACCGCATTTTTGGGTCAGGTCAGGTCACTGACCTATGACGTCATAAGTGAACCTCTGCACGGTCTTCAGATGTCGCAACTTCGCAACGCCCTCACTGCCAGAGGAGATGTCACAGGGAAATGAAACTTGCAGGATCTAGTATCCATTATGAGTCCCACAACTTGTATATCTCGGATTTTTCCTAAAGGTCATATGATGTTAGGTCATTTTCGTGACCTCACCATTATAAGTCAATGGGGAAAAATGAAAACTGCTATTCTGGCGCCGGGAACGATCTCCAACTATCTCAAGCACACAGAATCGTGATTTTATGCACTCCTTGCAAGGTTAGATGCGTCACTTTTGCAATGTTGACCTTGCGTGACGTCATTTATGACGTCATCAAGGTCATATTAGTTTTTCGTCCATAACTCTTGATCAAATTGAGCTAGCGAGTCGGGAAAGCCACCAATGGACTCAGGAAGACCTGCCGAATCGAATGATATGCGACATGACCCCTTTCGACCAACTTCGTGACCTGGGGGTGCTGACCTGACCTTGACCTGAGGTCAACACCCCAAGTTGACCTGACCCGGACAAAAAGTATATCATTCGACGCGCCTGAGCGAGACGAACACGATGCTGCCAAAATCGGCGCTCTGCGGCCGTTTTTTGCGAAGTTATTCACCAAAAACTGAACCGTACCTTGGGGCACTTGACCTGACCTCAGAGGTCACCGGTTGACTTAGGACCTTAAAATCGGGTACCAATCTCTGCGTCTCGTAACGGCGCACACGCTCGTTTTTTCCGCGACGCGCTAGCTCCACCAGGGGCGAAACGGCGAGGGGGGGGTCGTACCCGCCCCCCCCCCCCTCGGCCGGCGCGTATGTAGAAAACCAATAGGTCCGGCGAGGGTTAACAACCAACTTCAAAATTTGACATCTCTTGACCTGACCTTGACCTGACCTCGACCTGAAATTCATCCAGATGTGGTCCATATCACCTATTGAGTGTGCCTATTGAATTATATGAATAAAATGACCCATAAAACATGTGTCGCACATGCCCTTTTCTATATTTTGTTTTTAGTGACCTGACCTGACCTGACCTGACCTTGACCTTGACCTCTGAATGATATTGTATGCAGCGAATATTGTCTTGGTAGCCTAAGAACACGTTTTGGGCAATCAGTCTCAGTCCATTCTTCGGCAACTACGGTGCAAGGCCGATACTGTAGAAGCTTGCAATTTGTACCCTTGACCTGACCTTGACCTTGACCTCAAGGCTCAAACTTTAAATTAAGTACATGTTTTTAGTTGTTCGTGATGAGATCTTTCGATTGGCGTTTGAATTTTCCAAATCGGACCATTAGTTCGGGAGATAACAGGGGGGGGGGTAAAATTTACCCACCCCAGCCCCGCGCGTTCGGCTGGAGACCCCAGCCCCGCGCGGGTTAAGGCGATTCTGAACCTGGCGCCAAATTCACTGACATCATAGCTCAAAAAAGCATATCCAGCATCGCCAAAAGTGGGGGGGTTCGACCCCCCCGGTTCTCACGAGTGGGGGGGGGGGGGTCGCGACCCCCGCAACCCCCCGTCGGCGACGCCCCTGCGATCCGGGACATCAGACATCAACATGTCCAGCTTTTGTGAGCTGATCTTGGGCCAGACAGATCGAACGTTCCTGGTCAGCGTGCGTTCAGGTTATCCTGGCGCCGTTTTGCTCAACTCTTACAGGACGATCACCCAAAGATTTTCTATCGGCGACAGGTCGGGGCTATTCACCGGCCATTTTTCCTTCTTCCAGAATGCTGGGAAGTTCGATCTGTGCCAGTCCTCCGTCGTTCTAGCTGTTGTTGTTGTTGTCGGTCCCCGCAGCCGCGGCGAAGCCACGGTGTAGCCTAGTGGCTCTGGAGGGCCCTGAAGGCGGCCACCAGGGCCGCCACTGCATCGCTGCGCCGAACCTCCTCTGGGGTCGGCAGTATGTTGCCGATGGCCTGGGTCCGGAGGCGGACCCCCATCATCCCCGGGCATGTCAGGAGGATGTGTCTCGGTGTGTCGGCTTCCTCTCCACAGAGCCTGCAGCGGGCCGCGATACAGCCGAGACTGCGGCACTGTGGGCAGTCCACGGACGGGTTCCTCCCTATCTCGTGGAGGAACTGGGCGGAGCCGCTCCATCGCCCAGTTCGGATCTGGTGGACGTCGATCAGGGGCGGATCCAGGAAAACTCCAAGGGGAGGGTCATGAATCGAAGTGGTGCCCCTACCTATACCCAAAATTAAAAACTCAACGGATTTCGTCCACTTCATTTTGGTGGTGCCCCCATTTTCAGTTTTTTTCTTTTTATTTTTTATTTTTAGTCAGTATCTTAACTCTTAGCCACAACCACATTTACCAATTGTAAGCAAGTATATATGAATGTGCTATGTGCATAGATGCTATGTGTATATATGTTGTGGACGCTGAGTAGTGAGTACTTACCAGGAACGTTATCAGGTAAGCAAATCGTTGTCAGTGCGACGAACTTGACCCTGGCGTCTAAAGGGTCTGTCCTTGACACTTCAGGCTTGTCAGGGGCACCAAAGTCCTTCCAGGGACACCACAAACCTTTCAGGGGCACCTACGGCCTTGTAGGGGCGCCACAGGCCCGCCAGGGGCACCACAGGCCTGCCAGGAAGTAGGGGCACCAAAGGTCTAGCAAGTATACACGACAGGCCTGTCAGGGGCACAACGGACCTGTTGGGCCCATGAGCACCCCTAGGGGCAGGGGCACCACAGTCCTTCCAGGGGCACCACAGGCCTGTGAGGGGCACCAGCGGCCTAGCAGGGGCACCAGTCAACACAGGCCTGCCAGGGGCACCACAGACCTGCAAGGGGCACCAGAGGTCTGCCAGGAGCACCACCGACCTCGCAGAGGTAACTTGGGCCTGTCAGGGGCCAGGGGCACCACGGGCCTGTCGAGAGGCACTTCAGGCTTTTCAGGGGCACCATAGTCCTCTCCGGGCGCAGGGGTAGCAGGGGCACCAGAGGCCTGCCAGGGGCACTACAGGCCTAGCAAGGGCACCACTGGTCTATCAGGGGCACCACGAGCCTGTCATAGCCAGGCATCTCAGGCTTGTCAAGGCCCAGGGGCACCACAGGTCTGTGAGGGGCACCAGCGACCTAGCAGGGGCACCAGTCAACACAGGTCTGCCAGGGGCGCCACAGACCTGCCAGGGGCACCACAGACCTGCCAGGGGCACCAGAGGTCTGCCAGGGGCACCACCGGCCTCGCAGGGGCACCTTGGGCCTGTCAGGGGCACCACGGGCCTGCCGAGGGGCACTTCAGACTTTTCAGGGGCACCAGTCCTCTCCGGGCGCAGGGGTACCAGCGGCCTAGCAAGGGCACCAGAGGCCTGCCAGGGGCACCAGCGGCCTAGCAAGGGCACCAGAGGCCTGCCAGGGGCATCACAGGCCTAACAAGGGCACCACGGGCCTGTCAGGGGCACCTCAGGCTTGTCAGGGCCCAGGGACACCACAGTCCTTCCAAGGGCACCGCAAGCCTGTCAGGGGCACCAGAGGCCTGCCAGGGGCACCACTGGCCTGTCAGGGGCACCACTGGCCTGTCAGGGGCACCTCAGGCTTGTCAGGGCCCAGGGGCACCACAGTCCTTCCAGGGGCATTACAAGCCTGTCAGGGGCACCAGAGGCCTAGCAAGGGCACCACAGGCCTGCCATGGACACCACAGGCCTGCCAGGGGCACCACCGCCCTTGCAGGGGCGCCTCAGGCCTGTCAGGGGCACCACGTGCCTACCGGGGACACTTCAGGCTTGTCAGGGGCGTTACAGTCCTGTCAGGGCCCAGGGGCACCAGGCCCGTGGTGTCCCTGCTAGGCCTGTGGTGCCCCTGGCGGTCCTGTGGTGCCCCTGTCAGGACTGTGATACCCTGATAGGCCGGTGGTGCCCCTGGCAGGTCTTTGGGCCCCCGGGCCTCAAGGGGGGCCATGACCCATGTGACCCCCCCCTTGGATCCGCCCCTGACGTCGATTGCGCTCGTCCTGTCCATGTTGGAGATTGGCGGTGGGTACCCTGTGCCCATCAGCTCACGGTACCAGCCGGTCGCGGCCTTGTGTTCCGGGTCCGGGTAGGACGGCCTCTCCCTGGCGGCGCGGTCTCTTGCGGTACGGACCGCTGCTCGGTAGATGGTCTCCACGTCGAGCGGAACGTCCTCCTGCGCCAGAGCCGCAGCCTCGTTCGCCAGTGTGTCGGCGGCCTCGTTGCCCGGGATCCCGCAGTGGGATGGTACCCACTGTAGGGTGACCGGTCGGTCCCCAGCTGTCGCCTCCCGCAACAGCTGCCACACCGTCGCTCCTCGGGCAGACCGCTGGGCCGACGGGCCCTCCCTCAGGGCGGCCACGGCCGACATGGAGTCCGTGCAGATGATGACCGGATCCGTGCCGCTCTCGTTCTCGATGATGTGCTCCAGGGTCTTCTGCAGGGCCACCATCTCTGCTCTAAAGCTGGAGCAGAGGGTGCCCGCCGGGATCCGAAGCTCGGTGCGGCTGTCGTCCGCTCCGATGATCAGGGCGCCAGCCCCTCCTCGGAGCACTCCACCGCTCGCCGAGCCATCGGTCCATGCCCAGATGGCGCACTGTGTCAGGGACGCGAGATGCTGCAGCGCCGCCTCCCTCTTGGTCGAGTTGGCGGCCCCTGCGGGAAGAGCGCCGATCCCCACGTTGAATGTGATGGGTCCGCTCGGTGTCCACGGCGGTGTCACCACGGCGTCATTGAGTTGGTCTCGGGATCTCATACGGGTCGGACGTGTCTCACCGAGCTCCTGGTTCCTGATTCCTCAGCTGGCCAATAGGTGTCCCTGGTGTTTTTGGCGGGAAACCAACGCCTGGTAGGCGTCCTTTTTGGAACCTTCTCATTTTCCGGCGTCCGTTCTTCACAAATACGCGATCATCGTCATATATTCAAGTCATCAACGAACGGCTCAAAATGCCCGTCGGGCATTCACCACCGGCAAATGTTCGCGCCCGTCGCGCGAGACAAATATCTACCGTAGAGGCAGCCGGCGTTGATTCCGCAACCGACGATCCCAAGGTCATCGCTGAAAACACGAACGACGAAACCGAAGAGCGTTCGTCGCCACGAGGAAATCAAGGAGGAAATGTGGGAGGTGGGAATCAAAGCCGTGGAGATGAGAATCCGAATGAAGTGAAAGAGTGCGGAGTCGGCGACAATACAGGTATGGACACGGACACGGAACAGAGCAAGAAAACTGTCGGTAAGTTGGATGAAAGCATGTATAAACTGTTTGGTCATGGGCCTGGCTCTGTTAGCTCTCTCTCGCGGTCATCCAGTGATACAGGCAGTGAGGGGGCTATTTGCAGGGGTGGACCGAGCGTAAAGGCATGTGGAAACCCTGTCAAGGATGGTGAGCCAGGCATTATGTGTGACAAATGCCATGACTGGTTTCACCCCCACTGCCAGGGGGTTCCGAAGCTAGCCGTCAAGGCACTTGACAAGTATGAAACCCTTGCGTGGCTCTGTGACAAATGCAAAGTAGATCTGAAACAAAAAAAGCAATGCGACCATCTTGTCTCGTCTCTTGAGCAAAGAATCATCCAACTGGAGGCATCAGTCTCTAAACAATCAGACCTGATTAAAGAGTCCCTTCAGACCCGAGACAGGGAGGCAAGTGGCCACCTTGATGCCCTCAAAAAGTGTGTAGAAACTTGCGAAAGAAATGCTCAAAGCCAAGCCAAAGCCATTGAGACAACTCTGAAACAGAGCGCTGTTCGGCAGCCGGCTATTTTGTGTGCAGGGTATGACGTATTTCGCGAGCCGACGTCACAGGCGGTGACGTCGGCTCGCGCGCGAGCCGAGCGCCAACGACAAACTAACGGGAACCCTCGGACACCCTCGGGGCATAAACCGCGGAATATCATATTGAGCGAGTCTTATAAGGAAAATTCATATATTTTCGTTTCTCAAATGATAATCAGGGTGTCTCTTACCTTTTAACATATCATTTAGGCTTACCTAACACTTCAGTTGCCAAATATCTGCAATTTATTCAAGCGAAGGTATTTTCAGTAAATATCAATGGTATAGACCGAAATCTTTTGAATAAAAACTCCAACCAACAGAAATAAAAATAACTTAATTTATTCCAACCATTTCCTCCAAATAAACAACATAAAAACTCACTTTTACACACATCATTCATAATAAAGCATACTAACACGCCGCTTTTGACAATTGCGGCGTCGAGTGGCGCGCTGCTAGCGGTCTTTTTCGATCGCAGAGACCCTGCACGCGCGCGAGCACACTACGTCACGTCCGGGGGGCACAGGTATATGAAAAATCGCAGTGACGTAACACTTTTCTCGCTTCTCATTGGTCAATAGCCCGTTGCCGGGGTAACGTGCACGTATGTGAGCGCGGGCAAGAGTACTAGCCGGCCGCCGATCAGGGCTCAGCAAAAGTCATTTAAGTGCTATATTCTTGATATGAACCACTTGATTTACTTTTAATATCCTGTCACGAGCTCGATGTGAGCGGGATCCCCAGGCCAAGTGGCCTTTTAAATCCCGGGTAAATATTTACATAAGGTCCGATTGACTGTTCAAGCATAAATTTTGCATATTCTTGCATTATTTGACATTCTGAATCCAGATATCATACTTACGTGCGGCGGAAAAACCAAAAAACACAAAAATAACAACCTGTTACACCCCTTCATAACACGATACATACCCACACGTGCACGCACCAACGACCCGGATGAATGCGACGAGGGAAAAACGCCGCCGTTTCAGCGCTGCCATATGAAGTTTTTTGCTGCCATTTTCGGGGAAATGTTGGGAACCGGGGTTTATGGGGCATATTTACGTCTGGACAACGAGTTGCGGGGAAAAGTGCTGATTTTGTTACAGTTTTAGGAGCCGGTGATTAGGCTGGATTTTCGGGTCACTTTTTCGTTCCGATTCATGTATTACATAGTGTTTGGCTTTTGAATATTTTAGTTCTTTCAGATAAATATTACTTGCCCTACAACTTTTGTAAAAACGTTTAATTTTTATAAGCCGACGTTCAGAGTCCTAAAAATACATCAGCACTACAATCATTGTAAACAAACAAATGGAGCACCACTTGGCTCCAATGGCTCTGTTCAAGGCCATTTTTTAGTTAATCTGGTGGTTTTCTTACTCTTGTACGTCGTTTTGTTGGATAAATTGAATCCCTTAAGATTGACTTATATCATATTTAAGAAGCATGTTGACTGAAAACAATCTGAAGTATCCAGGAGGCTGACAGAGGTCCTGACTCCTGAGCAATATCAATATTGATATCAAGTTGAACAAGTTCCCAGTAAAAAATACCATTTGAAACCATTAGGATTTACCAATTGGTTTCAAATGTGTCAAATGGTTTGAAATAGGTTCTAATGGTTTTCATGACCATTTGAAATGGTTTCCAATTGGTAATTTCCCAATTGGTCTGAAATGGTGCTTTCCATTTGGTCCCAATTGGTTTTGAAATGGTTTCCTAATGGAAAATAAATCCCATTTGATTTCAAATGGTGTTTTCCATTTGATACCAATTGGTTCCAAATGGAATGAAACCATTTCATTCCAAATGGTGTGTCCCATTTGATCCCAATTGGTATCGAAATGGTTTCCAATTGGTAATTTCCCAATTGGTCTGAAATGGTGTTTTCCATTTGATCCCAATTGGTTTTGAAATGGTTTCCTAATGGAAAATAAATCCCATTTGATTTCAAATGGTGTTTTCCATTTGATTCCAATTGGTTCCAAATGGAATAAAACCATTTCATTCCAAATGGTGTGTCCCATTTGATCCCAGTTGGTATCTAAATGGTTTCCATATGGAAGAAATTCCCATTTGATCTCAAATGGGTTTTCACATTTAATCCCAATTGGTGTCCAATTGGTCTCCAAATGGAATAAAACCATTTCATCCCAAATGGTATGTCCCCAATTGGTATCGAAACGGTTTCCAATTGGTAATTTCCCAATTGGTCTGAAATGGTCCTTTCCATTTGATCCCAAATGGTATGTCCCAATTGGTATCGAGATGTTTCCAATTGGTAACTTCCCAATTGGTCTGAAATGGTGCTTTCCATTTGATACCAATTGGTTCCAAATGGAATAAAACCATTTCATCCAAAGTGGTGTGTCCCATTTGATCCCAATTGGTATCTAATGGTTTTTCCCATTTGATCTCAAATGGTTTTCCCATTTGATCCCAATTGGTGTCCAATTGGTCTCCAAATGGAAGAAAACCATTTCATCCCAAATGGTTTGTCCCATTTCATCCCAATTGGTTTTGAAATGGTTTCCATTTGGGAGTCGGGAGATATTCCTATTTGATCTAAATTGTTCAAGTGGTTGCGAAATAGAATTTTATCTGATAATCCGTGTCTTATTTAATCCCAATTGTTACTGAAATGGTTTCCATTTGGAAGATATATTCCTATTTGATATGAAATGGACAATGGTTTTCCTATTTGATCCCAATTGGTGTCGAAATGGTTCCCAAATGGAAAAGCAACTCTGTTTTGAAATGGTGTCTCCCATTCCATTTCAACTGGTGTCGAATTGAAAAATGCATTTGAAAAGCATTCAAGGGTCGTTTTAGGCAAGAAAAACATACTTATATGGCAATAACTTTTATTTCATGAGATGAATAAAAGCAAAGTCCGAACTGTAGTCGGAGCTGGAGTCAATTTCTGAGTCAGAGTCGGAGTTAGAGTCATAAACCCACCACTTTGCAGCCCTGTTTCTGCAGATGTGTGACAAGTATGCTTCAAAAGTGTTTCTACCTTGATGGTCTCTAATGGTTTCAAGTGTGTTTTGAGTATGGACTGGGTATATTAGTTCCCAATTGGTACCCTAATGGTTTCTAATGGTTTTTAAACATATGCTTAAATAATAGACTTAGCGGTAATGGGAAGACCTTTGACTGGTTATACTTGATAAGCATCACTACAAGACCTTAGTTTTTCATTAAATAAAAATGATTCGCAAAATCCACGCCATTTCCGCTGACCGCTCATTTAAACAGCACTACTTTTTCTCTGTGTGCCTACGCTGGCGGCGCCCGACCGTTGGCGCCCGACCGTTGGCGGCGCCGGCCGCGGCCGCGCCGGCGCCACAGTTCAAATCGGGCGTCGACGTCGGCCGGCCGGCCGGCGCGCCACCGTGTTTCGCGTTCGCTGGGCCTGGGGGCTGGGACCATGCCCGCGGTCGACCGGGACCCAGTTCTGCTGTGAAAGAGGAAGCAGAGCAGAATCACGCGGCTGGTGAGTGACTTTTCTTGTGCCTCTGTATGCGATATTCGTTTTACGACTGCAAATACTGAAAATAGTTATTTGAATAAATTTGGTTGCATTTGGCATCTTTGTAAGTACCTACTGAGTTTAACAGAGGTGAGAAAGAGGCTTAAAATTAGCGATCACAATTTATTTTGCCAGCAGAAAATTGTCAGTGCCATATTTGTTGTGGTCAGGCTGCCTAAGTGACAATGCAAGTTGCATGAGCTTAAGGTTATTATATTGTGATATTTGACAAATGACTGTGTGGTAATTTATATGATCCCATCGCCCAATTAACCCGTGCTGTCCTGTACTGTTGCAGGCACGAACTTGCACCGGACAGACGCCGTCTACCGGTTCTACACGGGTCCAGATGGGCTGCATGCCTTCATTATAGCAACGTTCTGACTTCTGAAAATTCTGATCGCCACGCAAGATTAAGAAATCTGTCGGAACAACAGACAGTATCACCGATCGGAATGATATTGTATCACGTCGTTCATTGTGCGCCTATGTGGAATAGCATACGTATGGCCCAGTGTATAACTACATTGTGATTCTGTTCTTGATTCTGATAGCAGTCGCCTCATCGATGTGGTGTTGACCAAACAACAATGTCCATGTGTAGTTAATGTCTAATGTTAATAGGTACGTGCTGGTGAAAATGTATATGCTTGCAGAGTAAAACAATAAAAATAATTCACGGTGCAGTTTGCTATTTTGTGGATGAAATGCATGGACTTCAAAAGGATCTTCAAATGGTAATCTAGCTGCCCAGTAAAAAATACCATTAGAAATTACCAAATGGTTCCAAATGGGAAAAACCATTTGACTTATTGAACACTTTTCCAAATGGTTCCAAAGAGGTTCCATTTGAAATGTGTCCAATTGGCCACCAATTGGTACCAATTGGAACCATTTCATGACCATTTGAAATGTGTCCAATCGGTACCAATTGGTGACCAATTGGATACATTTCAAATGGTCATGAAATGGTCCCAATCGGTACCAATTGGTGGCCAATTGGACACATTTCAAATGGAACCTCTTTGGAACCATTTGGAAAAGTGTTCAATAAGTCAAATGGTTTTTCCCATTTGGAACCATTTGGTAATTTCTAATGGTATTTTTTACTGGGTTATGAAATTTGATTGATAAACGCAAGTTGATCGGGCTCATATATCAGCAAGAAAAAGTAAAATTAAAAGAGCTTATTGGCCAAAATCAAGCTATAATATTGCAGACCTTGGAGCAATACTGAAGAGCATGCTGAGCAGGATCATGCCAGAAAATGTTGACTGATGAGCGCATATTGATGTATTGGTATAAACATTGAATGATAACTTACAACAGCAAGATAAATTAGTGCTAACTATCAAGTTAAAAATCTAGAATGAATGGACTTACTATGCTTAGATGCTATGCAGATTGTAATGTGCATCAGGTACTCAGTGTCTGGCAAATGAAAAATGCGACCATTCCATTGCTACTGGAGGAGAAAGCTTGGATCACTAAATCCACTTTGTTGATTTTGATGTTAATCATCACTGTATTTCTTGAAAAAGGATTGTAGTAAAATTGTCAATGTGACAATCCATGCAACAATGTGATCATATAATGTGTTCATAGTCATTCGTAATAGTGATTATTGGTCCAATATACAATGGCAAAGCTCTCAGTCTCAGCGTTTCTTCCTGTGGGTGGCCAGTAGTGACTCAGAGCTTAGAAGTATTAGTTTTCTTCACAGGGCTGGGATAAAAAGTACTGAGGGTAATCTTCCACCAAGGGACTCTACTTTGACATGGTATGAGATGTAGACACAAGTAGGTAGGTGCTTAGTTCCTATAGTCAGTAGTTGTGTATGCTTAGTTGGGTTAGCTTAGATTAGATTGTTAGTATTTTAATTTGCCAAGTGTCCATAAAAATGTGACCTGAGCAATGAGCATACCTGACTAACCTGACATCTGACCTAACCTCAATCATCACACATATTTGCAGCCCACCCAAGACCTGCATTGGCATAGCAGTAGCACCCAGTTATAGGTAGGTACTCACCGTAACTCAATCTTACCTGCTAACCTTCAACTTGCCAAAAGTTAGCTCACATTGCCAAGCTGCATCCAGGGAAACAGTCAACTGAGGAACTGGCTCGTTGGGTGGCTGGTGTGAGTCTGTGCATTTAAAGTGTTTCTTCTCTGAAGCTGCTCTGCACTGCTGTATGTCATGTTAGATGCTCAGAAAATGTGGGAAATGATAACTAAGCTACTTCAGTGCTTTGTTTATGCTCGAGACATGAACAAGTACAGATCCTCCTGCAGGGTACAGCTATGAGTTAGGTGCTAGGTGAGTATGTTATGTGAATGTGCTGTTCCCTGTTTAACCATAGTAAGTATACAAACAAGCATGCAGGGTCACAGTTATATTCAATCTCCACATAAACACAACAAAAACGGCCATATAGCCTAACTCCGAAGTCCGAACACACCACAGATGACTTAAGCCTTTGCAGGCACAAAAATGTTTTGATTAACAGGACAGGTATACAATATATCCTCTGTCCTTGGGAGATCTTGCTGCCAAGTTGAGGTACGATGACTGAACTTCAGGATTGATCAACCTTTTCTTAGCCACTGCTTATTTACGAGAAAGACCAAATGCTTGTTTGTTTTGATTTACAGGACATGTATACAATATATCCTCTGTCCTTGGGGATCTTGCTGCCAAGTTGAGGTACGATGACTGAACTTCAGAATAGATCAACCTTTTCTTAGCCACTGCTTATATTAAATGCTTGTTTGTAAACTGCGTTGAAAATTTAATGATCCACCTTTAATTCTGACATGAAGGCACAAATGAAATAGTTCCCTCTCCTTTTGGAATACACAAAGCAAAATATTTCATAAATTTTAGTGGATGGACAAGAGCAATTAGCATTGGCATAGCTTTCCCTGAAGTTAACTTCTGGCACTGATGAACAAGGCCGTATATAGGCTGATGAATTACACTGACGCTTATTCGCTTCATATTTTGTAACAAACGCGCTAAAACTGCAATATAACACCACTATATGCTTCTTGACAAAATGCAATAGTAGTAAAATTTAGCCCTGATAGCATTCATTCTTGGTGGAAACGTAATTACAAAATATTTTGTAGTAACTGTTAAATTCCGGCCGAAAACAGTGCACGGTTTAAAAAAGAATCATACCAATGACGGTCGATTCTTGCGGTCCTGAAATCGCCACTATTTCCGGCCTCTCCAACGCAACTCGTTGTCCAGACGTAAATATGCGTTTATGGGTGGGGAGGGAATCAAATACGATAATCAACGAAAGTGACGTCAAAATACCAAAACACGAAAAAAATGGTAAAAATCATAAACTAACCTAACCTAATCTAACATAACCTAACCTAACCTAACCTAACCTACTGATTTTTGCCTACCGGGGATAAGGAAAAAGTTACTTGCAGGAATAGATTGCAGGCAAGAATAAATCAAATATTTTTAGGTTAAGTGGTCATGCATCAGGCTTCAGGCCTTCGGCCTGAAGCCAGATACATAACCACTTAACCTAAAAATATTTGATTTACTCTTGCCTGTAATCTCTCCTAAGGCATCGCCTTCGGCACTGCACTGCTCCGCCACGAGTATTATTATGACGTCACTTTCATAACAAAATCGAATAGCGTAATGTTTTCACTCAACCTTGGAGTTTATTCATTCGATCCTTTCCACGTGGCGCAAACGGCTGGTGGAGTGCGGTAATGGCCGGTGGTGACGGTAAATATTTTACAGGTGCTTTAAAACTTGGTTGCGCCATGAATAACTATCAGATATGAAATCAGGAGGCCAAAATACATCGTGTGGTATGTTTGTTATAATCACTTTGGCGATCGGACCTTATGTATATAAATACCCTGGAATCTTCGACACAGGGACGAGACTTCCTCACCGTTTGCGGCGTTGATCGGTGTTGGACGCGAGTGAAGCTGTTCAACATCTACATCTGCATGCTACATCTCACCTGCTGCATGGATCTCACCTGCTGCATGACCGCCTCTGCATGATCACCTGCAAATCTGGACTACCCGCTGGCTCAACCTCTTGGCAGTACTGATTGTCTATCCTTTCCTGCCCAGAACAACCATCCCCATCCCGACTGAATGTGAAACGGCTTTCTCACCCTGAACTGGTCTACTTGTCTTGTCCCCACAGCCTGCCTCTTGTGTTGGTGTCTTGCTTTCTGTGCTGCTTGCGCGCTACTGGTTGTCCGGTCGGTCCACCTTACCAGCTGTGCACGCATCTCATTAAGCACGGTGGACCATGGCCAGGGGCAAGAAAACAGGAGCTGGGAGAGGGAGATCTGCTAGCGTCAGTATACTCACCAGTAGGGATGTCACAGACTCACAGCAGGCAGGCACGCAAACCTGTATAACATGTTCCAAAGATGTCGGAGACACTGCGATCGGCTGTGATAAATGTGAACATTGGGTACACAGCACCGAAATGTGTTCTGGCCTGCCCCAGCATATGCTGGATGCAATTGCTAAGTATGATGGTGCCGGTATTAGCTTTATCTGCACAAACTGTCGGCTTGACAGGGGGAAATCTCCATCTAGCAGTCAGGTGCCAGCAAATGAGGTTATAGCCCAACTGTTCCAGCAGATCAAAGGTATTTGCTGCACAGTAAAGGACCTTGTTGACCAAGTTAAGACCCTGACAGCATCAGTGTCGGCTCAAGCCTCCACTCCCTCAACCAGACCTCATCCTGAACCACCAAGACTGCAACAGCCTGCTGCCGACTACAGGTCCATTGTTCATGAGGAAATGAAAGAGATGAGAGAGCGTGAAAAGCGCAAACAGTCTGTCATAATCAAGGGCCTCCATGCCGATTCCACAGCTGATCTAGCCTCAAAGTTCGAACAGTTGACTGATCAGGTTATGGGCACGAAAGTTGGGCTGACTGACATCTCATCCATCCCTGGCCACCCACATATCTATCGTGCAAAGATCATGAATAGTGAGAATCGAAAGCTTGTGTTAGACAAGGCAAAAGCTTTGCGAAACACTGACTACTCCTCAGTCTATATATCTAGAGACTTGACCTATGCACAGAGATCAGAACTGCTTGCCCGTCGCAGGGCCCGTCAACAAGAACAGGCGCAGGCCCTTGGACTGCCCTCAGCCCAGTCTAACACCGGACAAGACGCACGGACTGCCCCCTCTGTGGGTGCACCACCCCCTGCCTCCCAGGGAAACTAAAACGGAACCAAGACTGTAAGACTAAATCTGCCACCGACACCACCAATGTTCTTAGTATTATGCACACAAACATCAATGGTCTGGCACCCAAATTTAACATGCTCGTAGATTTGCATGCCAAACTCAAATGGGATATTATGTGTATTACTGAGACTCATCTACTGCCCAGTATTTCTAGTTCTATTGTTGATATACCTGGCTACACTCTCTTACGTCATGATGTTTGTGGGCATGTGCAAAAGCATGGTGTGTGCTGCTACATCCAAAACAGATTGAGTATCGACCATATAATCCAACCCTTACCTAACCTCCTTTCCTTTCGCCTGAGTTCACTCAATACATTCGTGCTTGTTGTGTATAGACCGCCTTCTAACTCACCAGATTCAAATGACCGTTTAAACCAGTTCATACTTCACTTTTGCTGTGGAAAAGAAGTGATTGTCCTAGGTGACTTCAACCTTCCTGGTATTGATTGGCCAATCCAAGTGTCCCATTGTCCCCCACTAGAAAGGATGTTCCTTGACACATTCCTATCCTTAGGTCTCCATCAATGGATCTCTGAGCCAACATATCCCAGATCTGGAAATATCCTTGACTTGATCTTTACCTCGGAGGCAGATCGAATAGGATCTCTCGATATCATGGCCCCACTGCCTGGATGTGACCACTGTGCTATTTCATTTGATTACATATTTGATGCTTCACCATCACTTAACTCAGTTCCTGGACATACCATCCCTCAGAGAGCCTGGCACAGGGGTAAGTACCAAGCAGCAAATCGTATGCTCAGTAACATTGACTGGGACCTAGAGTTAGCTTTTCTAGACTCGGATCAGTCCTTTAAGCGATTCGCCGAGATACTCAATGATGTGTGCACAGAATGCATTCCACTTAAGCCACCTAGTGAAGGTAGGCCTCCCTGGTCAACCAATCCTCCCACCAGCCTAATCAAACGAAGGCATGCTGCATGGTCCCGTTATAAATCGGTAAGGCATCAGCTTGGTCGTCACTCTGGTGAGGCTCGTTCTATGTATGCCAGTTTTGCCAGTCTAAATCAGCAGTGTCGTAAGTTTGCCGTTCAGGCCCAAGCTAAGTATGAAGAGGATCTGATCTCGAAGTCTAAGGAAAACCCCAAGCTTTTCCATTCATACATCCGCAAGAAGAAGGTGAGCCGCCCCTCAGTGGGTCCATTGAGACTTCCTTCAGGACAACTTACTGATGATCCTGGTCGTATGTCTGAACTATTTGCTGACTCATTTTCCTCTGTCTACACCAGAGCAATCCCAGGAAACCCTGCTCCTCACCAGCGATTCCTTGGGGAACTTCATAACATCAGTATTACCCAGAATGATGTTCTCAAAGTACTTCTAGATCTAGATGGCAACTCTGCCATGGGGCCTGATAACATCCACCCACTCTTACTTAAGAACTGTGCCACTCACTTAGCTTATCCCCTTGCAGTTATTTTTAACAGATCACTCCAGGAGGGTTCCTTACCTTCTGACTGGAAAACATCCTTGGTTGTTCCCATCTTTAAGAAGGGTCAAAGATATGAAGCACTTAACTACCGACCTATAAGTCTAACATCCGTTTCTTCGAAGAGAATGGAACGCTTGCTGTGTGATTCTCTTACATCTTACCTAGAATCCAACCAACTCCTGAATCCCCACCAGTTTGGTTTCAGAGCAGGTAGGACTACTATGGACCAGCTGCTCCTAGTGTATGATACAGTATCTAAACAAATTGATATCGGGGCTGTCAGTGATGTCATACTGTTCGATTTCAGCAAGGCATTTGATGTGGTGGTACACGACCTGTTGATTGACAAACTACAAAGCATTGGAATTCAGGGAAATGTCCTAAAGTGGATCAGATCATTCCTGACAGGTAGAACCATGAGAGTGTGTGTCAAAGGGTACAAAAGTCAACCTAAAGCGGTACTTAGCGGAGTCCCGCAAGGATCGGTACTCGGTCCTCTCCTTTTTTTGATTTATGTTAACACTATTGCATCCTCACTAAAAAGCAGTTATAAGATATTTGCCGACGATCTCAAGATTTATACTTGTGTCAAACACAGTAATAGGCCCGTCTTAAACCCTCTGCCTGACGCGGCCGTGCAGAATGACATAGATATTCTTCATGCTACCGCGTTGTCGTGGGGCCTCAACATGAATGTTAAAAAATGTGCCGTACTCCGTTTCTCAAGACACTGTGCCAACCTAACCCAGCCCTCCTACTACTTGGATGGAAATCTGATCCCAGTGGTTAACAGGGCCACTGACTTGGGTGTAATAATTGACACTAGCATGAGATTTCATGACCACATACAATCTACCGTCCACAAAGCGGGAGGGCTGGCGCAGAGTTTCCTGAAATCTACAGTGTGTCGCACCCCAAATTTCATGATATTTCTGTTCACAACACACATACGTCCAATTTTAGAATATTGTTCATGTGTATGGAACACTGGATACGCGACGGATCTTCGTTCACTAGAGCGTATTCAACGGCAGTGGACGAAGCACATCGACGGTATGGAGGGCCTTACGTATGGCGAACGACTAAAAAGTTTGAAACTGTACTCGGTACAAGGCAGGCTGTTACGAGCAGACTTGATCCAGTATTGGAAAATTTTCAATGGTTATTCTTGTATCTCACCCGCTGATCTTTTCCTACGCCCATCCCTTGCTAGAACTAGAGGCCATTGCCACAAAGTGTTTCCCCCTGTCACAGCAACCGACACGCGAAAACGATTTTTCTCCATTCGATGTATTTCACTCTGGAACTCGTTGCCATATGATGTTGTGTGCGCACCAGATGTTACCAGTTTCAAACGCTTGCTTGACACATGTATAACAGACAGCCTTTATAACTATTTAGATTGACAGGTACCCGACATTGTGATTATGCTTGCGACAATGTGCTCATATTGTATGCATGTTTTTTCTGAACATAGGAAAAGCAACAGGCTTTACTATGATGAGACGCACAATTCCAGTCAATGTTAAACTGCACGAATTAGGAAAGCCTTTGTAACGTAGGACTGGCGCGTCTCTTGTGTTTGGGGTTCTCTCATTCCTCATTTGCCTTCCTTCTTGCCATCCTGAAACCCAAGACATGATGGAACCCAACGAGGTAAGAATACGAGGTAAGAATCCTATGCAGATGCAGTGAAAGGAACTTGTGAGGAAGTTACCAATATGGTAAAACAACAACTTGACTCTTTCCCAAAAATGCCTACAACTGGCAGCTCTAAGACAGCTATGGACATGTCAAAGGTACTCGATGACTTTGCCGACAAGGAAAGGCGCAAGGCAAACATAGTGGTCCACAACCTTCCTGAACATGAAGGAGACACTGTTACAGAAAGATCTGCAAAGGACACTACAGTGGTAGTGAAAATTATCAAGGATGTGATGAAACTGAATGTAACAGCAGTTGGTTCTTTCAGAGCAGGCAAAAAACTTCCCAACAAACCAAGACTACTCATAGTCACACTCGGAAACCCATCCGTCCGTGGTGACATCCTGCGTAGTGCGCCATGGCTCAGGAACACAGCGAACTACAGTAACATATACATCTCCCCAGACATGACGCAGAAGGAGAGAGAAACAAATAAAAAACTGAGAGAGGAACTTGCAACCCGCAGGCAGGCTGGAGAACACAACCTTGTCATCAGGGGTGGCAAAGTGATTCAGCTGCCCCGACATGCTGCATCTTCAACAGGCACTGATAGAGCTCGGGTACCCGATTCAAACCCTGCTCATGGGATGAACAGACAGCAGCAGGAGAGACCTGTTGGACACTCTGCAGCTGTACAACCCACTCCTTCCGCTGGGGGATCAGCGGGCTCTGAAACAGGTAACATCCGCCAACAGGAGGACGGCTCTGCTGTGGTGGACACTCATTCAGCCTGAAAACCAGAATGGCACTGCCAGAGAGCCAGTTAGGCAAGACTGACTAGACAAAGAAAATGTAGCCTGGAGCCAGAGGAAAAAGACTGTCAGGAATCTTCGTGTGCTCTATACAAACACAGACCAGTTCATAAACAAAAGGGATGAGCTAAGCATGAGGATATGTGGAGAGGAGCCAGATGTGATGCTGCTTACTGAGACCCTTCCGAAAGCTCAGAGACTGCCTATTGCCCCATCACTGCTGCACATTCCAGGATACCTGTTATTCACCAACTTCAATCCAGGTATGATGGACCTGGGCAACTCTGGATTACGAGGTATCTGTGTGTATGTAGCACAGCATCTGAGCGTCTCTGAGGTAGTCTTTGACAAATCAATGATTGAAGATGTTTGGGTTGGACTGAAGCTACAAGGAACAGATCACTTGTTGATAGGGTGCATCTACCGAAGCCCATCTGGCTCCCAAGAAGAAAGTATTAAAAGGCTGGAGCAGCTGATTTGCCAAGCAGCTGCAGCCCCCTTCTCACACCTTGTCATCATTGGCGACTTCAATCTTCCGGGCATTGACTGGGCAACTGGTGCATCTCCTTCAGCCACACACTCCTTTGTGGAGACGATCCAGGATTGTTACCTGTTCCAACATGTTACCCAGCCCACACGTTACAGGCTTGGAGAGAGGCCAAGTACTCTGGACTTAGTATTTACCAATGAGGAGGGTATGGTTCGCAACCTTGAGTACGGCCCTGCCCTGGGTAGAAGTGATCATGTGATCCTTACCTTCACATTGATGTGCTACGCACCTGCGCCATCCTCGCTGCCACGCATGTATTCTCGCACCAACTATCGTTCATTGACTAATGTGCTTGAATCGTGCAACTGGGCGGTGATGAGGAACATGAGTACTCAAGAAGCTCACACCTTCTTTAGCTCGTCAATCTGTGCAGCCATTGAGTCATGCTCCAGCATCAGAAAGAAGGCCTCTGACCATAACATATATATGAACCGCCAAGCCCTCCAACTAAGGAAAAGGAAAAGGCTATTGTGGAGCACTTACTGCCGAAGCCACGATGAACTTGATCACGCCAGGTACGTCAGGTGTCGAAACGACCTGAGGAACGTGACCAGAGCCCTCCGGAGACAACATGAGCAAAAGCTGGTACTGTCAATCAAAGATAACCCGAAGTGCTTCTGGCGGTATGCAAATTCACGCCTCAAGACCAAAAATGGCATCGGCGACCTAGAAGACGAGAATGGAGAAACGGTGTCTTCTGATAAGGCAAAAGCTAACGCCATGAACAGATACTTCAGTAGCGTCTTCGTCGAAGAAGCGTCAGACACCATCCCTGTCCTGGAGCGCCCCCATCACGGACCGCTTCTGGAGGACGTCGAAATCTCCCCGCTACGGGTACACACTAAGCTGGCAGCGCTGCGGGCACACAGCTCGCCAGGACCCGATGGCCTTCACCCTCGCGTACTAAAGGAGAATGCAGCCGTCCTCTCCCACCCACTGAGCTGGATCTTCAGGAAATCGCTGGACTCCGGGGATGTCCCCCCAGAGTGGAAGATCGGCAACGTGACTCCGATATTCAAGAAAGGAGATCGCCGCCTACCATCCAGCTACAGACCGGTGAGCCTGACATCCGTCTGTTGTAAGGTCCTCGAATCTGTCATAAGGGATGAGCTCCTGCACCATATGTCAGCAAACGGCCTGCTTCACAGAGCTCAGCATGGTTTCCTGGCAAAGCGTTCGTGTAGCTCCCAATTGCTTGAGGTACTGGAAGACTGGACCGCTGCCTTGGAAGACCGAACCCCGGTGGATGTGGTCTACCTAGATTTCGCCAAAGCATTTGACTCGGTGCCGCACAAACGTCTTCTCGAGAAGCTGAGGTCGTATGGTGTCGGAGGTAAACTTCTCACCTGGATACAGACCTTCCTAGTTGGCCGTCGTCAACGGGTGCTGATTCAGGGCTGCAACTCGGAGTGGGCACCTGTCTCCAGCGGTATCCCCCAAGGTTCAGTATTGGGGCCGACGCTGTTCACAATATACGTCAACGACATGCCACTAGAGGTCTCAAGCAATATGAAGATGTTCGCGGATGACACGAAGCTATACAAGCCACTGACAAATCCATCCGATCGTGGTGCTGGCCTGCAGGGTGATCTGGACGCTCTGGCACGATGGTCCTCAAGGTGGCTGCTGCCGTTCAACGCAGGAAAGTGTAAGGTGATGCACATGGGCTCAAGAAACCCTGCACACGAATATAGGCTGAACGGGACGCCCATCGCTGTGGTAGACGAAGAAAGGGATCTGGGGATCATAATCGACTCTGAGCTGAAGTTTCATACGCAAACGGCCGCGGCCGTTTCAAAAGCCTCACAGCTGCTCGCGGTCATCAAGCGATCCTTCGCTCACATCGATGAGACGACCCTACCCTTGCTCTACAAGGCTCTCGTCCGCCCCTTTCTGGAGTTTGGGAACGCCGTCTGGGGACCGTTCAGCAAAGGAGACCAGAAACGCTTAGAAAAGGTCCAGAGACGCGCCACGCGTATGGTGGAATCCATCAAGCACCTTCCCTACCCCGAGCGTCTGGAGCGTCTCCGACTGCCGTCGTTGTTCTACCGCCGCCGCAGGGGAGACATGCTGACGGTCTACCAGCTGTTCCACGGTGGAATCGATGTGCCGGCAACGACCTTCTTCACCAAGAACGAGACCGAGCTGACGAGAGGACACGGGTGGAAGCTGCTCAAACCCCGAGCTGTGACTCTCGCCCGACGAAGCAGCTTTAGCGTCCGCATCATCAACGACTGGAACGCTCTATCTGCTGAGGTCGTATCAGCCGAAACACTCTCGACATTCAAGGCACGACTCGACCATCACTGGACCCACCTAATGTATGTCATGCCACAACCTTACGAGTCCTGAATGTCTCTGCAAGTAACTCGGTGAGAACGGGACCTATAGGCCAAGTGGCCTTTTCTATCCCGATGACCTTCAAGGTAAGGTAAGGTAAGGTAAGGTAATTTACTCCCAAATTCTGCCATAGACCAGGAGTTTTGTGAATGGAGGTCAGGGCGAGCGCAACAAGCTCTGCTTGGCAGAAGTTCTGTCCTTGTGAACCCTTCCATTCAAAAGGTTCAGACTGAAGTTATAAAAATCCTCCGCATCAGCATGGGTGTCCCTTCTGCTCCTTCTGCGGCATTGCGGGTGCCTTAGCTCTCTCAATCCCTCTTCAGCTTGGCTTTGGGAGTCAAAACAGACACCAATGGCCAAGGTCACTACAAAGGTGGTGGTGGTAGATTTGCTATGCTTGGGCACTGGCAGGCTGCAACAGTAGAAATTGATGCCCATGATCCCCAGGCTTAAATAGGTATATGATACCAATGCCTCCAATATATGATTACCAATGCCCAAGTCGGAGCCAAGTAACAGCAGCATGCTCTCAGCCTGCTGATAAAAAACTGATCGAACAGCGCCAAGGTGTCTTGGTGTATTCTGTGCCCACATCAATCAGGTATGAGATTATGTAATGCAGGCTGCAGGGAGCCTGAAAGGCATAGAATAATCAGGTATGAAGAGATTCTGCCGTGGCCTGTGTGTTCTGACCATTGTGCTCCTTTCCCAACAGTTCAAGTCGTCCAGATTCCAGGCCAGGGGTTGAGAACAAGTACCGTACCGCAAGCAACCAAGATGTCTCTCCGGCAAATATCTGCTGCACTGAGACGAAGAAATAGCCTCATTCTCCTGCTATGCCTGGTGGCATTTTATCTCATCTGGTTTCAATTAGGTAGGTACTTATTGATCAACATCTTGAGGGAAGGTGCAGAACTTCATTTGATTCCACTGCTTTTTACTTTTTTTTTACTGCTTTTCATGTTAAATTGAACAAAATAATGTGTATCATTGCATCAATGAAATTTTATTGCACAATGTAAAGTGCATCGTGCCATTTGCCAATGGCTTGAATTTTGGTCTTTACTTGCCCTTTCATGTGTCATTACATCCAGGTTTGTATTTACCTGTGAACTACAAGGTAGGAAGCTAGATTTGTTGAGCAATATGCATCTTCATGTAAACTGACCTGAATGGCCTCTGTTCCCAGCTGGTGTGCGGCTGCTGGAGGGTTCTGGACACCCACACTCTGACCAGTGGCAATATGCATCTTCATGTAAACTGACCTGAATGGCCTGTGTTCCAGCTGGTGTGCGGCTGCTGGAGGGTTCTGGCCACCCACACTCTGACCAGTGGGAGGAGAGGGTGGCCAAGGAGCTGTACGCCATGCGCCTGCAGGTGCGTTGGAGTGATGCATAAATTCATTGATGTCTGAATCTCATTCTGTTTCTTTTTGTCTGCTGAGTTTCAATTTAATTCTGCTGTTGTGTAGGAGGTATGCCAGTTGACACACATAATGGGCAGATACAAGGGAGGCTATAAATTTCAAATAGCTGTTTCCTATAATGAGTATTTTTCTATTCATGAAGTACTTGTAAGTTATGCCTTGGCCTTATTTTTCTTGTAACAAAATCTTGGACATCCACTAATTGCTCATTAAACATCCATAAAGCCTATCACCTCCATTAACCCGCGCCCGGCTGGGGGTCCTGGATTTCCACGCCCTGCTGGGGGGGGGGGGGGTGTTTGAACACCCCTCCCCCCTTTTAACTCGGCTCCTGGGCCACTTAGCGATACGCGGAAGGCGGCGTTCGAAAGAGCGTCAAAAATAATGAGGAAATCACTTCGGTCAATTTTTTGGTCAGGCCAAAGGTCAGGTCACCAGAGGTCATTGAAGGCAAAATTTCGCCGAATTCCAGGTCGAATGTCGACAATTTCCAAGAAGCCAACGCATAACTCGGGAACCAATAGAGCTACAGCGCCGCGGAAAAGCGCATTCGACAGCCCTATTAACGCCCTTTCTGAGTAATTTTCTCAGATTTGACCTTATGTCCGCTTTCATGACCTGACCCGACATATGCGTTTTTGCCTTTGGACGGCAGAGCGGTTTTGCCTGCAGGGGGCAAAAACTGCAAAAATAGCCGATTTTTTCGGAAAGTTTTTCTGCAGTAACTTTTGACCCAATCCTTGTACGAGCCTACTTTTACCGGCATCGTGTTCCTCTCGTCAAGACGCATCGAATGAACTATAACTTGACCTTGAAAGGTCAACTTGAAAATTTGACCTCAGGTCAAGGTCATGACCTGACCGGAAAGGGTCATGTTGCATATCAGTCGATCCGTATCGTCGAGCTGAACACATCTAAGGCATTTTCATCGCTCTAACATGCCTCTATCAAAAGTTATTTGCGAAAAACTGTTAGATACCATTCGTGACCTAAGATGACCTCAGGGCATAAACAGGGGTCACGGACACCATTTTCATGTTCAGTGTGTCTAAACCACTTGTAATTCAGTGTTTGGGAGTGTTTATAATGTCTTTCGTCCAAAAGAGGCCTATTTCAATTTTCTCCCATTGACTTATAATGGGGAGGTCGCAAAATTGACCTGACCTTAGGTCATCGATATCAAAATTCTGAGATGTACATTTTGTATATGCTATTGCTCTTAGCAATCGCTGAAAGTTTCAAAGCGATCGGTCACTCGGTGTAGCTATGACAGACATTGAAACTTTTTATGAGGTGAGGTCAATTCAAGTGACCTGGTGACCTGACATTGAATGACCTTGGTCTGAAATTTACACAACATGTGTAGAATTGATGTATGATAAGGTGTATCAAAAACGGCGGCGCTCCGCGCCGCCGTTTTTGAGATATTCGCGAAAAACCACAAGGGTGGGTGTTCAAACACCCCCCCCCCCCAGCAGGGCGCGGGTTAACTTTAAGCATAACCTTGCAACTTCCCTGGCCTCCATTGAGCATCCATTGGACATTTGTCGCTGTGGTCAGGCGTCGGAGATGCGTCGCCAGCTGACGCGGCTGGGCAGTGCGCCGGCCCATTGGCGCCATTCCGACCTGCCCACCATCTTTGTGGTGACTCCCACGCACGCCATACCGACTCAGAAGGCAGACCTAGTCAGGTAGGTGTCTGGGAGATGGCGGGGTAAAAACAGTGTGTCATGTCGAGTGGGTGCTTGGAATTTGTGGGGACGTTCTGGAATGGTGGTCTGATTTTTAACTATGCTGGTTGTAGTTTTGTATTGTGATATGTCTGGTGGTATGTCAGGGCAACTGATTAATGTGGTGTTCTGCTCCTAGCAGATAATTCATAGCTTATTTGACGCAATATCGATCAAAGTTTCACATTGATTACCTACCATCGTGATCAAAAATATATCCAAAGCATGTTGCACTTGCAGACTCATCAAACACCGTTGTGCAACCTTTATCGCTCGACGATCGCTGCTCACATATGGGCGCCGATGCAGACTTCTGGGCCCTGTTCATGAACCCCGGCGGTCGCTGCGGTCGCTGCGGCCAGCCGGGTTGTTACGTCACAAAAAGGGGCGGGGCTCATGTAGTATGACGAATGTATGACGTCACCTTGCTGCGGCCGCTGCGATCTCTGCGGCCGCAATCCAGCGACCGCCGAGCCGCAAGAAAACTAATTGCACTGAACTTGGCGCACTGAAGTCAAATAGGCGCAAGCCGTGTTGTCATGGAGACGATTTTGTAAACAAATTATCTAGCGGTGTGCTTCAGTTGTAAACAATTGTCGGAAACTATTTCGGCAGCAGACGCTGTTCATGGAACGCTGCTGCGGCCGAGTGAGTGATGACGTTTCAAAAATGGACGGGGCTTAGAACCTGCTGCCGGCCGAAGCGGCCGCAGACTTCATGAACAGGGCCCTGCTCTCTTCAGTCCTGATGCGCTGGACGCTGAACAGTTAATACCAACACATCATCATCTCTGCTCAGATAAGTCATCCCCCTCCCCTCAGATTATCCAACACGCTGCTGCACGTGCCGAACCTGCACTGGCTGGTGGTTGAGGACGCCGACCACAAGTCTGAGCTGGTGAGCCGACTGCTGCGCCGCTCTGGGCTGGTCTACACACACCTGAGCGTGGCCACGCCACCCGAGCTCAAACTGCAGCCCAAGGTATGTATAGTCGGTCAAATATGTATCTTTCCCGGCCGGCCCACCCCACGCTGGGCAGGTCGGTAACTTGGCTGAATCCGCCGGCCGCTGCGAGTAGGTACTACGGAGGGGAGGGGACAGGTTGTGCGGTTGCCGCGTCGGCCAATGAGCGCGGACCTGGCGAGCGGGCTGGGGCCACGGCGTGTTGACCTAATATGGTCAAAGGTTCATGCCCTGCGGGTATGGTCTGCGGCCAGCTGGCCCACTGATTGAGCCACAGCACCGGGTCGCGGAAAGGTTTCGATAGGTATCTGAATTGGAGAGTGGAGACCGTTAGCTTGAACTTGAGTGTAGTCGCTCTAGGTTTGAGATGCCGTATCACTGCACCGTTTTTGAAAAGGGGAGAATTATTCAGTTGAGTGATGAGGGTAGAACGGTTGCAGAAATCGCACATCAAGTTGGCCGGTCATAAATAAATAATTGGCCGGTCGTAAATAACCGGTCATAATTCGATTAAGCATTTCTCTTGCGCTAATCATCATATCACCAAGCATTCGATCGTATCAAGAGCAACCATCTTAATTTTTAGGTCAGCGACCCCTGTTGAAACACCAGATAATCCTTTGATAGCTCATAGCACTCAGTCTACAATTTACACGGCGCATGAAAGCACAGCCATCATTAGACCATCGCGCTGCCCTCACATTCGTTAGATTCCTAACGCATCCGCTTGCTCGCCTCTCCCGGCCAGACCCGCCGGAGCACCCGGCGGCGAGGCCGTCCAGTGCTGGTCTGCGGTCACTCTCCAGCCGGCCGCTGTGTAGCTCCGCCCCCCGCGCGTGACGTCACAGGGCCGCCAGAGCCTGGGGTGTGGGCTCAGCCAACTATCGAATCCAGACCGTAGCGCCACTTGGCGGCCGGGAAAGATACATATTTGACCGACTATACATTGTGAAAGGGTGCTGAGATCTGGGCTGAGGGTGGAGAGGCTTGGGCTGAGGCTAAAGGGGGGAAGAGAGGGGGATGAGATGGAAGTGTCTGCTGCTGGCGCTAGTCGCCGTTGTAGGTTGTTGAGATGAAATAGAGGCTGAAACTATTAACGTTTGTACCATGAACCTGTATAAAATACAGCAAACATACTTTGTAACTTCAAGCTGGATAATTTTTCTATAGACTCATTGTTCGTTTTGCTCAGTGCTGGAGCATTGTTTGAACTGACCTTCATCTACTATTATAAATCTTAAAAAGTACCCCGCCGCCCACGCCGTGTGCGACGTACGCACTTTGTGGCGCTTATTGCGGCGGCGTCTGTTGACCTATGGCCGTGAAATTTTACAGCGATGTGGGCCACCTTTACACGTAGCTCGTATTAAATTTTGGACATGATGGGGCCGGGGGTGCGCCCGCGGCGCGTGCTCGCGTGACCATAGGGCTAACATTAGAATCGGCAAAAACACGCTATTGCTCGGGAACGGTAAGGGCTACGGGGGTGAAATTTTCACTGCAAGTCGGACGCGTGCACTCATTTGTCGTATTAAATTTTCGAGGGGGTTGGTTCAGCGGTGTGCACGTGGTGGGGCCGCGACCGGCGCCGAGCAGAGGGCACGTGCTTTAGGCTCAGTTGTTCGCTTAAAAAACTGAGTGGAAACAGACCCGGCAGGTCATTGACCTTTGACAACGAAGGCCGACACAAGGCACCGCTGGCCAAGGGGATTCACCAGAAAATACAATTAATTTATTTTTGCAACATCTCAGCCGTTTCTGGGCCGATTTAGCTGAAACTTGGACTGTCGCTGGTAGTGTAGGGTAGGGTAGGGTAGGGTAGGGTAGGGTAGGGTAGGGTAGGGTAGGGTAGGGTAGGGTAGGGTAGGGTAGGGTAGGGTAGGGTAGTGTAGTGTAGTGTAGTGTAGTGTAGTGTAGTGTAGTGTAGTGTAGTGTAGTGTAGTGTAGTGTAGTGTAGTGTAGGAGTAGGGTAGGGGTAGGGGTAGGGTAGGGTAGGGTAGGGGTAGGGTTGAGTTAAAATAGGGCCTAGGGTAGGGTAGGGTAGGGTAGGGTAGGGTAGGGTAGGGTAGGGTAGGGTAGGGTAGGGTAGGGTAGGGTAGGGTAGGGTAGGGTAGGGTAGGGTAGGGTAGGGTAGTGTAGTGTAGTGTAGTGTAGTGTAGTGTAGTGTAGTGTAGTGTAGTGTAGTGTAGTGTAGTGTAGTGTAGTGTAGGAGTAGGGTAGGGGTAGGGGTAGGGTAGGGTAGGGTAGGGGTAGGGTTGAGTTAAAAAAAGGGCCTAACATACAAAAGACTTGGACACTCCGCAACTATCGCTATTATATTAAAAACAGCTACCCAAATCTACCCAAATAATACAGCTAAAATACAAGCTACTCACCCAAACTAATGCATCCGTCACATATAATTAATCAAAACATACAGTTATCGCGCAATCCTGTACCTCTAGTACAGAAAAAAATACAAGTCAATCACCCAAACTAATGCACCCGTAACATAACATAAATCAAAACATACAGTTATCGCGTAAACCTGTACCTCTAGTATTGATAAATGAGGTGATGTCATTTCGCCTGTTCTGTGTTGTAGGCTTCTGAGCAGCAGGTGAACCTACTTCCTCTTCTGACGTCTGATGTTATGCATGTTCCACAAAATATGTAGGCTAGTAACACCATAAATGCTTACTCTTCGATCTCCCCCTCATATCCCTCATCTACCCTAACCTCTCTCCTCCCCCGGCAGGACCCGCGCTGGAAGAAGCCCCGCGGCGTGCTCCAGCGTAACGCGGCACTGTCCTGGCTCCGGGAAAACCTGGAGATTGTCGACGCCAACGGAGTGGTGTATTTCGCCGACGACGACAACACGTACAGCCTGGAGCTGTTCACTGAGGTGGGTGTGCTCTGTGGGATGGGCGGGTGTTACAGCTTAGACGGTTTTGTTGATTGATGCTCCATGCTTTGAGCTCAGTTGTGATGTCAATCCAGTAGTTCGCCGTGTGTCAATTCTTAAGTGTGGTGTTCTACGTGGACCTTTTGTGAAAGATACAATGCCCAAGCCGATTGGTCTGTCCACTCCTACCCCCAGTCGTATGCGGGACATGACTATTTACCTGCAGTCTGTCAGAGCATGTGGCTTGTGGCCTGTGTCCCCACTGACGCACTATGTTACGACACCCCGCCTGTGGCAATAAGAGTGGTCTGACTTTGCGATCGGACGGGGCGAACAGTAACGTCCTGTCTTTGAGTCTGTGGACGTGCGACTAGACACCGACGGCTATCTGACATATGACCGATCCCCACCCAGCATTGTCTGACCGCCCCTACCTTCCCAGATGCGTAACACCCAATCGGTCGGTGTGACCTATGACACCTAACTGCACGCCAGTTTTGCGTGTGGTGTGGGATATGCCTACTGCCTAATATGCGCTCAGCTTCGCCTGACTAGTCTCTCGTCTCCCTCCGCAGATGCGCGACATCCAGTCGGTCGGCGTGACACCCAACTGCACGCCATTTGCGCGGTATGACACATGTCTGATGCACAACCCGCCTCGCTTAGCTCTTCCTCGCTCCCTCCCCAGATGCGCGACATCCAGTCGGTCGGAGTGTGGCCCGTGGGTCTGGTCGGGGGTGTGATGGTGGAGCGACCCCTGGTCGATAACGGACGCGTCACCGGCTGGCTGACCCCGTGGAGACCGGACCGGGCCTTCGCCACTGATATGGCAGGGTTCGCCATTAATGTGCGGTGAGTTGAGTTGGCACGCTGTAGAGAGGGGAAAGAAGGTGGGGATCAAGTAGTGCGTTTTGGTGAGACTGTTGATCTGTTCGTTATAATGCTCAGTTTCATGTGTTGTGGTGTGACGATACATTATGCCATGTTTGCATGTCAATTGTAACCACTAGTTTTATATATTTCTTACGCAATGGGTCTAAGTTTTGCATCTTGTTTTCAAGAAAACAAACTTAGTTTCCGTTGATAAATCAAGATTTTGCAATCCATTTTCAGACAATCGAAATTAAGGCCTGATTCTGGAATCATATACAGATTTGATAATTAAGTTATTTTCCATATCTTTGAAAGACTTGTTAATAAAATACGTATTATTGCCCTACCCACTGTACTAAGTGTGTCTCCAATTATGGTCCATTCCTCAAAGATGACACCCCCTCTAGACATTGGGTCCCAGCTCATGTTAGCTATTGTAAGTCTCACATTGATCTCGCCTCTTTCCCCAGACTGGTACTAAACCATCCGACCGCCTCGTTCTCCATTGAGTCCCAGCGCGGCTTTCTGGAGACGGACCTACTCACACAGATGGGGGTCACCCTGGATGACCTCGAGGTCAAAGCAGACCTGTGTACAAAGGTGGGTACGCATGGACCGATGTGTTTGTGTGTGTGTGAGAGGTGGGGGGGGGGGGGGGGAGAACTGGCGCTTGGTGGTACGTCGTTGGAATCGTTTATTATTTGTTATGACTAACGATTTTTTCATGTGACAGTCCTCTGCTAATATTAATGAGAAATGCGAAAGTCCTGCTCCAAAAGCTCCCGAAGTGCTGCTGTGATCTGGTGAACAAACTTCAGCTCAGCATCAGCTTATGCTGGGCTGAACGGTTTGATGTGTCTATACTAAAGATCAGCAGAAGAGGTTATGTCTCTGTTGATAAGTGTAACCTCTTGTGACTGTTAAACTGATAATGATTCGGGAAAGACAATTTTAGCAATCTCGTCGCGGACCATAACACTGACGCGATGAGTGCCTTGTAATGCTGTTGCCTTAGATTTCCGCGGTTCTGATTGCTGACAGCAACCTCACCGTGTCTTCACCAGGTTCTGGTTTGGCACACACAAACGGCCAAGGCCGACCTCAAGATAGAAAAGATTATTGAACAGAAGGGCAAGCCGGCTACAAACGTCGGTATAGAGGTGTAGCACTCGCCTGCCAGCTAGATAGATCTACTACATCTTCATTAAACACCTTCGGGCCCTGCGTAAGACTACGTTGTACCGCGGCCGCACCCGCGTCCTCAGCGAAGGCAGTTTGGTAGCGCTGTGATACCTTCGACTCATCAGTCACAGCGGTGAGATACTTCACTAGGGTCCTATGCGTCATGGCATGGGCCATGACGGCATGGCATAAATGCCCGGGAGTACAATTAGAGAGATTTAGCTATACTCGGGGTGAATTAACAGATTGCCCCGTTGAATGTGGGATGTTTATTCATTCCGTCCATTAGCGGGGAGGGTGTTCGGTTTCGTCTGGAAGTGACACCGATCGAAGAGCTTGTTCACTGAGTGGCCAAAGGTCGGTTGACAAGTCTTTCTTCTATAAATAGATAGGTCAGAGATCAGATTGCTGACGCCAATGCGAGGAGATCTCGGTCAAAGTGAGATTTTGCCTGATGGTGCCTCGAATTAACTGGGAAGAGATATGTAAAAGAGATTGCAGTTGAGAAAAAAATGCTATGAATATCGGTGATTCAATCTCATATCAAATACTATCGAATTCATACGATCGATACAGCTCATCAATAACTAATGATGCATCACTGTCATGAATATCAAAGTGATATATTGCAATCACAGTTCATCATAGTCATATCATCATCACCATTATCACAATCACCATCACCACTCACCATCATCACGTGTCAATCACCACTGGTGTCGTACTGCTGCGTTTGAAGTTCTACTGGCTATTTGTAGTGGACAGTGCCCTGTATAGTTCCTTCTCTGAGCAACTGAAGAGCAGTGGCGATTGGCTGCTTATAATGGTTGGCTGCTCCTTTACCCTGGTCAGTGATGTGTCCAGAAAGGAGCTTGGTTAAGTGGGATTTGAAAGGGATTCCTAAGTTCGACACAGGGTTGGTTTAGTGCAGTTTTCTTACCATGTAATTATATTATGGCTGAAGGTGATAGTTTAGTTGTAGCTAGTGTTTGTATGTAGGATGAACACAATGCCAAGTTCAGAGTGATAACATTCGACTGTCGTGTTTGTTTGATGATAAATTAAAGTGCTTGCTCATTGATTGTGATTCGTTAACAGGTCATTTTCATGCTGCCAATTGGCTTACATTATTTGTGAACTGCATTTGTTTGAAATTGATTCGGTGATAGTTGGGAATCCATGGAATTATATAATAGTTATGTTGTAGTGCTCACATATTTCAATGATTGCCTATATATGAAATGTTTATTTATCTTACATTTAACGCTCGAGCTTTATAAAGTTTGAACTACGCAATCATCCGAAGTAAATGAGTATTGTGTATATCATTTACTTTTTAACATATTTTCTTGGAATTTGTTTGAAATTCTTGCTGCCTTTGCTTCCAGTTGAAATTCTAAACTCATGTACAAGTGTTTATGACTCTTCGATGTATATCGAGCTTTAAGCGAGCTAGCTTGTATCTGGTTTCTTACTATCCTCTGCGCTAGGCCGCTTTGGTGGTTTATCTTTGCTGGATAATTGATGTTTGTAAGAAGACCAACTTTAGAAATTGAGCTTTATTTTGAAGCTCTGTCAGCGTCACAGTTATCAGTGTCACCACCTACCTTTTTAAAGGCCACCCCACACTGGACCTTGCATGCGGGTTGCGAGTTTGCGGGCATAATACTAATTCATAGAGTGCTTAGACCGTTCCCTTATGGTTGCTTCATGAATGCAGTGAAGCCGGTACACCTTCGGAAAATTACATATAGTCGCAATACCAGAGCAACGAACTAAAATTCGACTCCAACGAAAAACCCGCAAACCTCGCAGAACTCGCAGACCTCGCAGCGAGGAAAATCGAAAGTTGACTCAAAATCAACTTTTGGAATGCGATGCAAGGTCGCTCGCAAGCCAAAAACATGCAGACTCGCTTGTTACATGGTAGTGTGGGTCACTCAGCTTAGATTGTATTATTTGATTTTGAAGAAACCCGAAAACCCAAAAACTCGCAACCTGCATGCGAGTTCCAGTGTGGGGCGGCCTTTAGAGTCAGCGTCGGCAAATGAGTTAGTGAAATGGCTATCGCACTTGTGTACGGTATCTTGCATTGATTGTTGCAATGACGAGTCGCAATATCGCACGAGGAAAAATAAACATGTTCGTTTTGCAATTTGTGCAAGTTTGTCAGGGTTATGTGGTCATTGGCAGTCTTTTGTTTTTGTCCTCATCGATGTAGATTTACTTTTTGCAACCAATCAGCATCTATCTTGTTTTGTGAGTCGTGCCTCATATTTGTCGGTTACCTAAATCATTATGAGTCACTACAGAACATTGTTGTGATGTAAAACATTACATTTGGGGCTAGAATACCGTTTGAATCGGTGAATGAGATACACCTTTCGAAGGATCATGAGCTCAAATGACACGAGATAGTCGGCAGCTTCTTTGCGAATATGTTCAAAATCAAGTTTGTTTTTCATCGATTTTCCTGTAATTTTTCATGTCTGACTCGTCGCGCTGCATTCAGCTTCATATAGCACATTTCGAACTTTGTGAGCCATTTCGATAAATTTTGATATTTCAATAGCTTTAGCACTACTATTATAACGCACCATGGATATCGGTGCGCTTACACCAAGCGAGATAACCAGCTGTTACAACGGCTTGTCCGTCAACGTAGAACAACGAGCGATGCTGGAAAACTCACTCGCCAAACTACAGGCTGACAACAAGGCGAAGGAAATGAAGTTCTTAGGCTGCATCATGGGCATGGATGGGGACTACTTCTTGGCTCAAACTGTTGGAGAAGATGTACTCAGTGACCTGAAATATTTCTACAGGTGAGTTCGGATGAGTGAGTTATTTTCTCACTCCTGTGCTCTCGTCTTATACTTCATTGCTTGTCTTCTCTCGCCTGTCATTTTTGTATTTTGTTTGACTTGCTGACAATCTTCATCTGACCTCGCTGCTCTGTTTGTGCCAGCACCGACGGCTGCCACTGGAGCCTGCTGCAGGACTGCAACCCCAAGTTGGTGGCCGGTGCCAGCAAGGTGCGGGGCCGCTTCACCGGCGACCCGGCGCACGACTACGAGGGCGGTCCCGGCCACGGCGCCGGCCCGGCCGGCAGTCCGACCCGCTCCAGTCCGGACGAGGAGGCCGCCGCTCTCGGGGTATGTTGATTGGTGTAAATTGTGCTCAGCTGGCCTAGCTCAGGCCTCTGCTCATCAGCTGTGGCTGTGCTCACTAAGATTGGTGGCTCCATCACACTATTGGTTTCTGGTAGGCCTCTGCTCATCATCTGTGCTCGCTGAGATTGGTGGCTGTCAGCCAATCTGGGTATTACGTCATATTACTAACCTCTATTAAGAAAAAGAAAGAGAATGGTAAAGCTAGTTGCGTTGTTTCTTGTATTCATCCTTGAGCTCCGAGACTCGACGTTTGTTGAATTATTGATTTCGCCTACCGGCTGACACCTGCTCTTCATTCGTCTGATTTTAGCATCTGCTACCTGGTCCTGATCTGTTCTGAATTGGCCAGGCTTCTGATTACCTCTGTAGACCCTCTCTTACTCGACCCCGTCCCTCCCCAGCCAGTGATGAAGGAGGAGGACCGGCTGGCATTGACTAACTTCTATAGACCCTCTCTCACTCGACCCCGTCCCTCCCTAGCCCGTGGTGAAGGAGGAGGACCGACTGGCGTATGTGGTCCACCAGCTGTTCCACGAGACCGCCATTGTGCCGAGGAAGGCCCTGATGTATACCGCCTCCGGCACCGTCATCAAAAATCCGTCATTCAAAGGTACGGTTAACCTGGCGGCGGGTAATTTTACCAACGACGTGATAGTGTGTGTGTGTGGGGGGGGGGGGGGTATTAAGGGAGTTGAGCTAGAAGTGTGCAACGTGTAGTTGTTTGAAGAAATAAAGCGCTTAGTGTGTGAAAGAATGTATCTGAAAAATTTGAAGGATAGCTGTTGGCTGTTGCATAGTGATGCCTGTCATTGTGGTTTGAATTTGCAGTGTTGTCGATAGGAGTTTGCGATGTTTTCTTACTAGATTTGAGACAAATGTGCATGTTTCCATGTCCGCATCATGCTATGGGCTCACTTGAGGCCATCAAAGGGACTTGTTCTGGCACACTTTGCTTCTAATAGCGTTTCTTGTACTTCAACTGTAATATCTCGCGCAAGTTGAAACCGAATAGATAAACATCGCGGTCGCACGATTTGTAACCTTTCTCCGCTCGCCGAAGCCTTCTTCCCACTAACCATCTAACTCCCTAACCTCACTCTAGGTCTGAGCTCTGTGGAGGGGGACCAGCTCGAGTCTTACTTCCACCTGCGCGTCCCCGCCTCTGATCCTATGAGACGGACGGCCGCTGACGCAGATCTCACCATCGATTTCCTGGAGCCTCTCTCACAGGACCCTTTCAAAGGTGAGAGGCACGTCCGGAGGTGAGAGACCCGTGCAGAGGGTATCCTTTCTGATTGTAATAAATTGTGTAGAGATTAGAGACTCGGGAGAGACTTTTGCAAAGACCGGTTCAGACGTGAGAGATCCGTTCAAAGGAGGTACTCCTGCAGACATGAGAATCCCGTTCACGTAAAAAATAGTCAGATGTGAGTGGTTGGTAGATGAGTGAGAGCTCAGCCTGATCGGTCAGCGGCTGTGGTCGGCGATGACCCAGATGTGACTAGTGAAAGACGGTAGTTAGAAGTTGCATTAGAATACAGTACTCGAGTTAGGCCCTACCCACCCCTAGGCCCTAACACCCCTCCCCCTCCCGTCTCCACAGCGGCTTGGTCTGTGAGCCGGTGCCGGGGCGGTCTGGTAGTAATCCGAAACCACACCTGATCGGGCACCGTGACACTGACACCCCTATCCCATGACACTGACACCCCTGTCCCCTGACACTAACATCTTCCCCTCTCCTCCCCGTCAGCCGCTTGGTCTGTGAACCGCTGCCGGGGCGGCCGTCTGGTAGTAATCCGAAACCACACCTGGCCGGGGGCCGTGTTCTACCACCGTCTCGGCACCACCGACCACGGCTACTGCTACATGGGCACCGGCCAGCAGAACCTGGACGTGCCGTTCATGCTGCCGTCCTCGCGACCGCCGCCGCCGCCCGGACTCGTCATTGATGTGAGAACTGGGGAGGGGAAGGGGTGGTAGGACGAGTTTTTAGGGTGAGTGAGAGTGAGTTTGAGGCCCTGATGTGTTTGATTTGAGGAGGCAAGCTTTGAACTTCATTCTTATTTGGCTGACAGTTGCGTTCAAACTTCTTAAATCACGATGAAGTTATCAATTTTAACATCAGTATTTTTCATTTCATTGACTGATTGGAGTGCGTCTATTTATTCGTAGTTTCGTCACGAAACTATCGGTGGTGATTGAAAAAAAAAAATGTTCTGTGTCATTCATTTCCTAAGCACCAGTAAAACGCCTTTTGAGCGAAGAACGAGCGAGCGAGATAGTGAGCCCTGCACGTGCGGAGAGGTGAGAGGGTACTTCCAACGGGCTTGCGCAAAGCACCCTTCTAACCGGTCGCTAGCGGTGTACCAAATTTGAACGCAATCGGCCCAGCCGTTCCTGAGATCTGGAAGCGGCATTCTGCACGTGCGCACGTGCAAACGGGGTCCAAACTGACTTTTGCACGGCACCCTACTAGCTGGTCTCCAACCGTGTACCAAATTTGAGCGCAATCGGCCCAGCCGTTCTCGAGATCTGGAAGCGCCTCCTGCACGTGCGCACGTGCAGTAGCACCTTAACCGCAACACATGGGAATGCATTGCCTGGTGGGTGCCTACCTGTATGCCAAGTTTCAGCGAAATCGCCCCAGTAATTACCGAGTTATTAAAATGGGAACAAATTTGACACCCCTTATTGTTGTATTTTGCACGTGCACTGGGGGTGACCCACATGCATCGAGAGTATCCTATTTTTGGTAGAAGGGATGCTGCTACCCTACAAAAATTACCGCAACTCAATCGCCCAAGCGGCTGCTGAGATATGAGCCTCTCCAAATCATTACTTTTGCAAAACAGCTTGAACACCCTTGACTTTTCACGTGGCACGTGCCACGACGGTCACTGAGATGTATCAAAAGTAATCAATTACGGGGTAGAAGGGATGGGGCTACCCAGCAAAAAAGACCGCAGGCCAATCGGTCCAGCGGTTGCTGAGATATATCATATAAGCCTCTCAAAAGCGTTACAGGCCGGGCCGGGCCGGGCCGCTCATACTGAGATTTTTCCGTTATATTGAAAAGACTCGCTTCGCTCGCTGCGCTCGCTCGCTCGTAACAATCCATTTCCTATCGGTTCTCAACTGCTCTCCCTGGCACCAACTAGTCACAGTGGCGCCCTCGTTAGTAGTTCCTTCGTTCTACACGTTGGCTGGGATCCTACCCGCCTGACCACAGCAGCAGCAGTGTCGCCATTTGTCCAGACTGCTCACTCTAGCCTATCCCTGCACTGATCTTACCCTTCCCACCATCTCGTCCTCAACAGGGAGACATTGAGGACGACGAGGAAGAGGGCGGTGAGGAGGAAGGCGAAGAAGAGGAGGAAGAGGAGGGTGAACCGGAGGAAGAAGCAGACGAGGCTGCTAAATTAGAAGAGGAGGACGTCACTGAAAAGCCGGAGGGAGACGCGGGCGCCGAGCCGGGCGCCGAGCCGGGCGCCGGTGAAACGCCCGAGGAGGGCGACGAGCGGGGTGCCGCCGGCGAGGGAGACGCCCCTGACGCAGAGGCCGCCCCCGGAGACGAGGCCAGTCCGACGGAGGAGGGCGACACGCCACCGGAGTAGGGCAGAGCTGGTGATGGGGAAGAGGAGGAGAAGGACAAGGAGTGTCAGAGGTAAAGAGAGACAAAGAGAGTCACTAACCTCATTGAAAGGCTAGTGACGTATGTGGAAAGCTTGTGGAAAGCTTGATAATACGGTGCACGAGTAAGCGGAATTTTCGAAAGAACGGTAGGATTGTTTTAAAGGTCCGGCCATGAACGATGGCACGGCGATGCGATTGAAGTATCAAGTGATTCACTAGACAGTACTCTCAAACTACTGTTCCCTGTGTACGGGAATACTATGTCAGGCAGTTTGGCTAATCTGTCAGGCTAAAGATAATTGTTGCAATTTATTAATATTTAATGTGTGGTTAGGCGCTTTCGAACAGGTTATGGCGAAATCTGACAATAAAACGGGCAGGAAAACTTGGTCTCAAATGAGCTGTTCCCCTCACCCTCTCATGGATCTCTGCGAGCTTACGCTGTTATCATATTTGTAACGGTACAATTACTGCTTGAAGCCGCATGCCACATACCTACCTTTAAAAGTGCTGGTTGTTCGTACGTGCGCTGTTTAAATTGAAGCCTACATACTTAGGCCTGTCACTCCCCAATGATAACCTGCTGCTCGTGTAGCCATTTGAGCGACAGAATCTCATGGATCACGCAAACAACCATAAAGTCGCTTTCGCAAAGACGGGTTTGTCCTTCGCAAATACTGACTACTTGGAGCTTACGTCCCACATTGCGGCAGCAGGTCGCATTCATAGTTTACATAGAGTTCAGCAGATGGCAGCACATGGACCCGGATGGGACCGGCTTCGGCATCTGCTGAGTTCGGCTGCACTGTCCCACTGAAGAAAAAAAACGCCCTTGCAGACTTCAACAATGCTTTGAAACTCATCAGTGTGGTAGATCATTCGGATACAATGTACGGCGGACTCCGACCTGGCCCAGGCTGAAATGGAAAGCAACTAGGGTGACCCGCGTGCTCCGCAACGCGAAAAGGGATATTTTCGATCGGCGGGTGTTCGGTTGTTCTTGTGTCGGTTGGGTTATCTATCCATTTCGGTCGATTGCTTTTTGACGGCCAAACTTACTTACTTGACTTATTTCGTCGACTCCATCTAGTAGATGCAGGATCATTTCTGATCGTCTTCCAATTATGTTAGCTGTCTGGATGATATAAATTTTCAGGACATCATAGTTGGGAGGACTCTTTAACAGTTACTCTTCTTGGTTATATTCTCAGTGAGTTCCTTGCGCACACGGGCTTGGTAGATATAATGGATGATCAAGCTTTGTGGTTTATCGGCGATGATGATAAGTTCTGCTGCTGGTAGCGTCCTGTTCAAGATAGTTTTGTATATTTTTTGAGCAGCTACTCTATCGTCTTTCAGTTTGTCACATTCAAAGAGCATGTGTTCCAGAGTTTCAATGGCATTACGACACAATGGACAGACAACAGTTTCTTTGTGCCTTCTAACCATGCTTGTGGCCACCAAAGAGTGGCCCGTTAGTAGGACAATTTTGGTTAGTGTCGCTTGTCTGGTAATTGCGCTGTACTTGCTTGCCGGCCAAAATGTTTTCGGCGCTTCGTACTTTTCGGTTTGTGGCAGTAGCGAAAGCCAAAACAAACTTGTCATATTCTCTGCTGTGTTCCTGATGATTTTTGTCATACTTTGATCCACTGATGCAGATGCTAACTTGTTCCATGCTGTCCTCGGTTGGTTTATTTTTTGATTAGCCAGAATAGAGAGGCTTGGTAAGTTCAGATGTTGGAGCAATGTGTCCCATTGGCGCACAAGACTCGTGGTTCGATCAGCATTGACTGCTCCATGGGTGATGATATATCTGGTTAGAGTGTGTTCCTTCGCCGCTCTCAGAAGGAAACCTATGAATTGGAGTGCGGTTCTCATTACGAGGCTTGTGCATGTCGGTGCACCCAACATCACATATGTTACCATTTTTTGCGTTTTGGTTGGTAAACCTTGGATGAGACGGTAAATGCGCATGAGCATCCCTTCCAAGTACATGATATCTGTTGGTGAAAGGGATGTAACTGCCAGGCTGTAAATTAGAACCGGTTCAGCATATATTCTCCACGTTGTATAGTGTGACATCGGATTGTCCATTTTGAGGTTGATTCCTTTCTTACACTTAGCAAAAAATGTTCTTCTTGCTTTCTTCATGCATTCTTCTATCCTTCTCTTTGCTGGACTTCTGGTTGTCATAATGATTCCTAGGTGGGTGTATTCATCGGTTTGTTCTATTGATTCAGTGCCAAGCGTCCACTGTACCGGAGCTGTCCTGCCAAAGACCATTATTTTGGTTTTTGATACGTTATATCTATAACGCCACAAGCAACTATGGTTGTAAGCGATATCAAGCATTTCTTGGAGTTCGTTTGGGTCTGTGCTTATGAGTACTTCATCATCGGCGTAAGCGATAACTGGTACTTGTTTACACCCTATCTTGGCTCCCTTATGTGATTCCAGCAGCATGCGTATCTTGTCTTCCATAAATAGGATCAGCATGCTCGATGATAAGACGCCTCCCTGTTTGAGCCCTTGCTCTATGCGACCATCGGTGGATACAGTTCCTCCAACTTTCACTTTGACATAAAACTCTCGATACAAGTTGCGCAAAATGACGATCAACCTTGGTGGTATGTTGGCGCATATGAGTTTGTAGATTACCCCGTTGTGCCAAATAGAGTTAAAACACTTGCGTACGTCGAGAAATGCAACATAGGTCGTTTTCCCAATGTCTCTATTAGCTGATATGACTTCTTGGAGAACAAAGTTTGCTTGGAGTGTCCCTCTACTTTTTTGATACGCAAACTGTAGTTCTGAGTAGATACCAGCCTCGACCATCTTTGGGTGAAGTCGTTTCACGATCAGTATCTCAAAAACTTTACAGAGGGTGGTAAGGACAGATATGTCCCTATAGTTATCAGTCTTAGAAGGATCGGTTCCATGTCCCTTAAAGACCGGGGTAACTAATCCAAACTTGAAGTTATCTGGGATTTTGCCAGTATTAATGATTTCTTGCATAATACCTGCTATTGTTGCGTTTGCTATTCCTTTTGCTTCTTTCAAATGTTCTGCAGTTATTTCGTCGAATCCTGGAGCTTTTCTATTCTTTAGATGGTATATAGCTTCATCAATCTCGCTTTCGTCAATCGGGTCCAATTGGTCGAGACTATCAAAATCAGCTTCATATCTATTGCATATGTTTTCTACTGCTGCATCTACTGCCTCTCTCCACTTTTCATTGAAGGCACTGGATTTGATCGGTTTACCTGTGTGGACAAAATGAGTCAAAAAATTATGTGCAATCTCATCAGGTTCTAATATCTCTGTACCATCATCCACGATTCTTGGAATTGATGTGCTTGTTCTATGCTGTCGCATTGCCAAAAGTATTTATTTGACAAGTTTTTACATTCAAATTCCCTTTCTGTGTCTTCTGCTTGCTTCCTTGTCAATTGATGTGCTCTCTGTGCGTTTATATAGTGTCTTTTGTGTTCTCGAAATATTTGCTCAGCTTTCTTTTTCTCACACTCGGGAGCTGATTTCCACATTGCTTTAGCCTTGAGACATTTTTTCCTATGCTCTGTGAGTTCATGATTCCACCAGTTACTAGCTTTGTTTTTCTTGCGTTTTTTCGGGAGCACTTGTGATGCTCTATTGAAGGCTTCATTTAATTCTGCAACACTGGTGATATCTTCTAAGAGATCATCCAGCTTTCTTTGATATTGTTCCGTAGTCCCTTCTCTTCTTGCCTTTTCCCAGTTTATCTTTGCATTTTTTGATGTACCTCGCCACAGATAACAGTAGTACTGGATTGGAAACAGAATATTGGCAGTTGCAGTAAGAGGCCGAATGTTTTTATGCGACGGCGCCAAAATGGAATTCTCGCGTGCTGCTGGGCGGATAATTTGTGTGTTGTGTATTGCAAAAATCGTCATTTTTGTGTTTTGTCGTTTACATTTAAAATCGAAGCTACCAATGTTACTTTCATTTGCTTAAAAAATTAAAATATTTCACTTTTAATTTGATAATTTAGAGGGCACAATGCGTGGTGTTTTCTTTTGAAAAAATTGTGGTGCCAAGCCTTAACGTATAGGTACCTACATCAACAATGGAGGAGGGGAATGAGCGGTAAAAAACTGCCGTTCTGGCTACAACCCAACGAACCAAGAGGAACAAAACATTAAAACAGGAGATGTCTCACATGCCACTTATTCGCTTTTCTCACCGAAACATCTCTACGGGCTAAGTGGGTTGGCGCCATGGGTCACCGTAACCGGGCTGAGTGGGATCAGGACTATTCCGCTGTATGTGAGCTGCATTTCAGAAAGGAAGATTTCGAAGATGATCGGTCATTTCGCACCGGCATGCAGAGACCGCGCCGTCGGCTCAAGAGCGGCGCAGTCCTGTCAGTATTGACCAGCGTGATTACGCGATGCCCCCTGTGTACGAGCGGCCAGCGAAGATAGCCATAGCATCGGCACGCCACTCACACCAGAAGCATGTTATGAACTATGAAGGGCCAGACCGATACGTTCTTCACGAATGACAATATCAGCTATCAGACCGGCAACTACAACTGGTCGAGAGTCCGACAGTTCCTGGAGAATGAGGCGGTACTCCGAACCAAGGGCCTCAGATGGTGGTCACTGGTCACGTTTCAGCCCCGCCGATGCCTCCTCCCGAATGGCACCATCACGGCAGGAGTGACAGCAGGATGGTGCTCTTGTCATCCAGGAGCTAGTGGCCGCGGTGGCGAAATCCACTGAAATGAAGGACCTGGATGACAGCGCCAAGGCCTCCCTGGAACACAGCTCCGGCGCCTTAGCACGCTCCGCCACCAGGCGTAACAAGTACGGTGCCTCCGCCAGCCTGCTAATCTATAATGGTGCTACGCCGCTGGAGGTACGACTGGAGAAAGACGAGGAAGACATCGACCTCACCGTGAGGATCTGCCTTATTTGGAGGCAACTGCCGAAGACGGAAGCTAACAGGAACCAGCTGCTGGCCTGCGATCAACCAAGAAGTGACGCAGAAGTGACGAAGATAGTCGTACACCGGGATGTCGAACTGAGCGGAAATCGTTTGCAATGATAGCCACGACATCCTTAGGAGCCTCCTTCCAGAGATGTATGGGACGGTTTTCAATCTATTCGCTGGAAAGTGTGGAAACATGGTAACTGATAAGTGAGACAGACAGTGCTGTCCATCGAAAGTCAGGAAGCAGACACCCCAGCCACTGGTGCAACCCGATCGAGGAGCGACAAGAGGCCAAAGCTCAGCAGGGTCAAGAAGATGTAAGGCGGGGAAGTAAGGTCGCTGATGAAATTGGGAGGGCAGGCGAAGCGAAGTGACACTTGAAGGGGTGTTTTGTGACGTTTGTTTGAAATG